TACATTATTCTCCATAGAAATATACCAAAATCCATCCCTAATAATGCTAAACGTGATTTCTCTACTCTGCATGCAATCATAAGAATAAGCAGCAACTACAGTTAAAATTTTATTCTGTTTGTACATTTGGCCGGGGAGGGCAAAGGAAAGTATATCTATACATTTGTTGTTGCTCAAGTTATTCTGGCAACAAATTCACACGAGGACTCAATGAACTGAACCAACACCAACAAACAAACGGTACAGGATACTTACAAAGGAAATAATAGCAGCAAGAAGTAAAATTTTAACTAGAAGATCATCAAACTGTTCCAATATAAGCTCCCACAAAGGCTTGCCTGTAGAATGGAGAGATTAATAACAAGATCAATAAAACAGGTTAGTTCCATTAGCAGCATTGAATCTTGCTCTCACCAGTGCCTGTGTGTGCATGCATGTGTGGGTCTGTGTGTGAAAGTGTCTGCGTGATTGTTTTCCCAAGAATAATAATAGAGAAGAACTGCATTAAATGCAGATCCACCACCAAGGCAAATGAGACAAGAGCACTGATTTGATAGAGTCTGCTGCTAAAATCCAAGTGATACTGCAACAGTTAAACCCATGCCTACCCAGGGAATTATTTTTCATTATATACCACAAACATGGAATGTATGTATATCAACAGTGGTCCCCTTAGTTAATCCATACATTTACAACCTTCACCAGCAGGAGCCACAAAGAACTCATGATTAATGAAACATTCCAATTTGTAACTAATAATTGTGGATGCCATTATCAAAAGAAGCTGCCATATCTAATTAAATAGATCTGTGGTGACTGGCTCTTGAGCATGTTTGTTATATTTTTAAGCACATTATAACAGAAGCAGCAGAGAAAGAAATAGTACATTTTAAGCTATTTTCTCATTTTGGAAATTGACACTTGTCTTTATTGTTCAGCTCACCATCCTTAAAGAACAATAAGTATGATATGTTCAGCTGGAAACCCAGAACAATTGTTTTACTGAGTTCACCAGAGAGCATACAATCATGTCAAGTGCTTGTAAGGGGTAAAAAAAAAAAAAACTTGACCCAAGCTTTTTAGTGGCTTGAAGCCATTGATCTTAACTGGTGAACAATCAGCTGCGCAATCACTAGGGAAGTCAAGGAATTATTTTGACAATAGACACAAAAATGAGCATCCTCCATTACTAACTGTAGCCCTTATATGACCTTTTCATTTTTTCCAATCTATCATCAAAATATAATTTCTATATTATCTCTTTTAACTTAAGATCAACTAAATCAGGCTATCATGTTATTCATTATTTATAACTATCCAAAAATTAATTTGCGTACACACAGAACTGTGGACAAAAAAAAAAAATAATAAATAAATAAAAAACAACAAAAAAGAGCACTTACCTTCTTCTGCTGGGAGCTCTGTAAAAAAAACAGAAAAAGAAATAAAATATTAAAATTCAGACCAATTGAAATAATTTTGTATCATGATTAAATTAAGTATGTTCCTTTTCTAAGTGCATGGCTAAATTAAGAAAAAGACATAAAAAAGATGATACTATACCAAACAGAATAAAAAAATATGTATGCACTTCTCATATCTGACAAATAACTGAATATTGAACACGGTGTTTTAATTAATATTACTTGCTAAAAGGAATTACACTAACTATTGTAACAAGCCAAATGTATTGAAATAGCTCACTAAATCTTTTAAATATTACTTTAAAAAGCAACAAGTTATATTTAATTTAATTTCAGCGTTTTGGAGCATTCAAAATTGCCTGTTTTAAAACTCATTTATATCTACCAATTTCAAAATTTAAAATTTGATAGCTCACAGTTAGCTAAAGGCTAAGTGATATATTGCCATCGACAAACCCAATCACACATCATTGTTGAAATAAACCTAACCCTTATCTAACGTATATTCTAACAGAATTTATGACTTAAAGTCAGGTGTAAACTGTTACTTTAATTATATTAAAATACAAACTTGAAAGGGGGCATGAAGCTAATTATATATTTCAGTACATTAAAAATTAATAGGTTAAATATCTATCCATGACTATCTCAAATCATTCAGAAGAAAACACCAGTTGATCTTTGTTCAGATGGTAATTCTCACACTCATAATGCTCATTGCTCATACTATTAAAATCTTTCAAATACAGTGTAACACATGGCTTGCTATATCCTTTAATAACAAAGCTGCATAAGTATAAAGATTGTGTTAATCAAAGGTTACAATTTAAAAAGAAATGTGAAAAAAAAAACTGCCCCAATTGTGAATAGTAAAAATTGACTTCAAGTTTTCCCATTACATTTAGAATCAAGATAAGGTAAATTACTACTGCTGTCCAGACAACTCCTTAGGGACCTGAGATAAAATGCTTATAAAATAAATCTCATTAAAATCCCTTGAAAGTAAAGATTTATTTTGAAATATTTTGCTTTTCTACTGAAGGTCTCAATGTGTAGATTTTAATTACAGGTAATGAGACCTTAAACTTACTGACTAATTAATAAAAATGTTGTTTACATTATGGATAAAATGTATAGTTTAAACAAAAAGGCATTAATAAAGGCATTCCTTAGCGTACAAAAAAAAAGAACATTTCTTCATTGTTCCCTTCCCCACCTCCATTTGATGCCAGAAATGTGTATAGGATATCCCAGTTTTACTTAAGCTTGTAAGTTTAAATTCCAAAAATAATTGCTGTTTCCTGTTTACCTTTCACACCCCTCCCTCCCGTTTATTTTCCCGGATAAACTTTGATGTGAATGCACACTTTGTCAGTTTAATTACCATTTTTTTAGTTGTGAGAATAAAGATAAAGTTTCAGGAGTTCCAAATTAAATGTGGAGCTCTCTTACATTTGTTTTTTTTCCCAACTAAATGTGCTTTAGTAGAGCTTCAAATTAGACTTAGCGCACATACACAACATCCACTTTCATTAAATGGCATGCTATTGAACTCTTCAAACAACTCACTAATCATATAGAGCTGTGCCAAGGAAATGTGACGGCCGGGACATAGTCTGAAAATGCGCCCCTAAATATATAGATAAAAGTGCAGCCCAAAGCAGACCAGTTAAAGAAGATCTTGGTGCCCCATATCTTTGTGAAATACATGGGAATTTATGTTTAATTCTCTATTAACGCTAAGATCCTATCTAAAATTATTTGGCGCCACCTCAAATTTTGATTGTTGAGCAAGTGCCCCTTGTGCCTGGCTGTGTCTACAAAGTTATCCAAAATATCCTTCCACTTTCCATAATGGTTATACTCACTACAGTATGACAATATTTTGTCCTTATTCGCTATTTGAAAGGCATAGTCTCATGTCTTTTACAGGTATATCTGGAAAGGTACATTGGGTGCAATACTTCTTCAGCAAAGTATATATTAGAAAGAAGCTAAAAATATAATTCAGCTAATAAAGCCAATTGATAATCATAGCAATGTTGTTGTTTTTTATAGCCTAGTTCAGTGGTTGGCTGCGCCAGAATAGATGTGGCTTTCTTTCTTTTTTCTTATCTATACTGACATGCTGCTCCCAAAACATATCAGCAGAATGGCTCCTCACGCAACCCCTGGCCTAGTTAACCAAAGGATACATTCAGTGACATAACTTCATCAAATTTATTCTGTAGGAGTTAGATTGTCAATCATATATTAACAATTGATTTTAATATTAAAGGCTCTTGTTAATTTAGTGTTCAGCTTATAATAGTTAGGCTTAATTGTCTTTGTCTATATTTTTCCATTGGCCTATAATTATAGCATAGCCTTAATCTAGTACACAGGTTACAATATAAAGAACTAAAAGGCATATGGTGGATAGCAATTAACGGTAATATTATATAGCATTAATAGATATGTAATTGTGAGACTAGTGCTAAGTGAAGTGGAGTTAAATGTGGGAGCCTATCATTTTTATTCATGTGCCTGTCGACACTCAGCTGTACCACATACAACAAAGATCATTTCTTTAAATTAAATGTATCATTTCCTATATGAAACATGCACAACTTACACTTACTTAGGGCAGGGACTACTATGTCATGACGCTAGTCTTATTGAATTAGCCTAATTAGGTCAGGCTCAATGCACAAAATGATGGGGGAAAGGTTGAATGAATGAATACTTCAATACTTCAGCTAAGCTTCACTAAGCAACAATAAAATTTAGAAATGTAAATGATTTAGTAAATGACATGTAATATTTTGTCAGGCTGACTAAAGTGGAAGGTTCATTACATTAAATATCGTAGGTTTAAGCCTAATTATTTATAAAAATATCATTAGTAATTAGGCCTACCCTGTACTGAATAGTATTAAATTACTATATAATAATAATATATAATATATATAATTATAATTAATTAAGTTTTATACCTGTACTGTAAGTAAGTAAGTAATACTGACAGTATCATCATAAATATCCCACGCCCACATTACATTTCGACATATGTGATAATTAAATATTCAATGTAGGCCTATTAATAACCTATTATAAATATTATAGTATAGTATTAATAGTAAAGGGAAAATGATGGGCCCAGCCCCAGGCAGGTTACTGGGCCAGGCCAGGCTGGGTATTTTTTTAATAACGCCCATGCCTAGACAGTCCAATAATTTTTTATAAAAGTTTTAAGGACTAGGGTACGTGGCATGCGAGTTGAGTGGAGGCTGTAGTTATATTTTACTTTTTAGTTTGAAATATTAGCTACCTGGTTGTTTAACGTATGTGTTGTCTATAATACCCTGAATAATAATGCATATAATGACTTGATAAATACTGATTGTTCCGGCATGAGTTGAGGGCTAAGTGATCCAACTACATGAAGGTCCTATCGTTTGTCCCCCCCTTCTTTACTTGGTTAGCCCCGGCCGCCATCATTTTCAACGGCAAACGAAACTCTTCAGTTTTCCAGAACAGAATATTCTAGAAGTTTAAAATTAATCTACACATCTTTCTCAATAAAAATCAACCTACCGTTTGGTCCATATTTTTCTGTATTCCTTTTAACTTGTTCATCTGATAATCCTACATTTTCGTCGACACCGAAGTACGCACACACTTCTTCTGTTGTTTTAGTGAAGGAGATATCCATTGTGAAATGGCGATGGTGTACACGTTTTTCGTGTCACCGGAGTTTCAATGAAAAAAACAAATTAATCCCCGTATTTGTAATCCCCTTTTAGTAAAATTACAATACACTACAAAATCCGAAATAAAGGAATAAGAAATTTCACGTTACTTCCTAAAAATCCTCTTCCTCCAGCAATGGCAATGAACACAGAACCTCACGCGTAACAGGTGAGGTAAAAATGACTTACAACGGGGGAGTCAGCTCTTCCGGAACATACCATCTGACGTTTGTGGAATGGTTGAAGTGAATAAAAGAAAATATTAAAAAGTATGTCCTAATTTCAACGAAAATCCCATTTTGATCGTAAAATGCGGTGCGTTTTAAACTTAAATAACGTTTTCAGGATTTTATAAACCCCATACACCCTTGAAAATGCTGAATGGTATAACCCGTTCCTCCCTACGCCATTACTAGTGACCCCGATGTGGGCTTACGCTATTGGTTGATCGGTAAAGGACTCCAGTTAGGTAACGTCGCTGTATCGCGAAGCTTATGACGTCAAATCGAAAGAACTATGTGCATATTTTTTCTTTCATTTCCTCTGTCTTTGGTCTATTTTCTCCCAGTCTATCAGAGAAAAGATTATTCACCAAATGGCACTTCTTTTACATTGTTAAAAATCAATCGACCCCCTACATCATACAGCACATGTATATTATTATTCAATGTAGACTTGTGGTTTGTGCAAAGACATGGTAGGCCTACGTTTATTAGCGTCAACGTGTAACCGTGTTGATTAGCGTACGATTGATTTATACATTTTGAATTTAGATTATACTAACTTATAATGCTGATGGACACATTCTCTGGTCAAATTCTAAACAAAAAAGTTGTAGCCTAATTTTCTGAGAATGAAGCTATCGATTTGGAGAAGAAGAAAAAAAAACTACTATAAGAGGAGGTTTGTGAAAGGACGCTAATTGCAAACAATCCTGTTACAGTTGACTTTGTAGGATCAAAAAAACGAATGAATAAAGTAAATTATTCTGGGCACCACTAAATGGTCAACTACTATCAATATGTAGGCTATCTAATAATATTGAAATTTAATAGTTAGTCTATATTTGTAATGTTTATTAAATATATCAACATAATCCTGTTAAATATTAACCTGTAAGTTACTATAAGGTCAATGGTTAAAGGAATTTTGGCAATAATTGCAAAGCGTCTGAGGATGATTTGAACATAACTTATTTCTAAACAAAGGATACACGAGAATTTCGAAGAATGGATTTTCATTTACAGAAAACTTGAGACTATACTATAGTCGTTCACTGCAGTTATGCTATAGGACCTACAAATGGTCTGATGTTTCATCCGTGTAAATTAAATTTGGATAACAATAAAACCTAATTATGAAAAGTAAAATCTGTTTAAAACAGATGAAACAGATTTTAACCATCGAGTATGTGATTGAGTTTCAATTATAATGGACAGTGTTTAATTCCCCCCCACCCCCACCCCCACCCCCATCCTTTCTTGCTTTTTTTAAAAAAAATATTTTTACAAGACTTGTTTAAATAAAAAATATGGCCTGACGATAACATGTTCAAAGGGGAATTTAAAACATTAACTGAAACAATTTAAAAATATTTAAAAGGGGGGAAAATAGGATTAATAAGCTAAACTTTTGCACCAAACAAGAGTAATCGATCATCTTCTTACCGATTTATTCCTTTTAATTCATACATTTTTTTTCATTGTTTGATCTTTCTAGTGTATATTTTTTATTTAAAAAAAAATAAATATCAAATATCTTTCTAACTACATCTTTTCAAAACTCACGATTAGATTATGACTGATTTTAAAATATATAAATATATCTACAGATCAAAGTCGAATTCCCGAAACAAATAAATCTGAATATTATTAAATTTTACAGTTTGTTAGATAATACTCTTGTCCGAATTATCTAAAAGATTTTTTTTAAACAATCATTTGTCATAATATTCACTGAAAATTCTCGGGTCAAGCTGAACTTATACTTTAAGCGCTTTGTTGCACTCTTGACTTGACTCGTGATTGGGAGCAATAGAAATACCAAATTTGAGACAAATTGAATTATAGTGTCAGCAAAATTGTCATTAAAGATTTTAGTTTGTGTGTGTTTTAATGACTTATACATCATTTAACTAGATCAGAGTTACGAAGTAAAAAAAAAAAATGTAGAATAAAAATTTAAAAAAAAAAAATATTTGAAAGAAACTGAAATAAAAATAAAATGCAGTGATAACTTAAATTAACTTGTCGTCTAAACAAGAACATGGCCAGCAGAAGTTCTCCCTTGGTTGTTGCTTGTTGCAACTTTGAGTGGTCTCTTTGGCTCTCGGCAGATGTAAATAAGAAGTCTTTTGAACAAAAGAGCCCACGCGAAGGCCTGTTGTACACGAATGGCTTGTTACAAAATGGAAGAAAAAAAACTCGACTCGCTCTCAGGGAAGTCTAAACAGACACGTCTGTACCTTTTATTTGAACTATTTTTATCTTTGCTATTTATTCCATGTTCTATTTCAAATTATGTTTTCATTTTTTTTTTTTTTTTTTTTTTTTTTTTTTTTTTTTTTTATTTTTTTTAAATTTTAAATTCCAATAAATTAATGCAACACAACAAAAATGCGAAAACATTTACTAAAATTTTAGTGGGGTCTGCTGTACTTATTTATTCTTTTTACGTGCTATGGAAGAAATAAATAAGAAGCCCGCGGTGCTTAGATCTTGAAGCATCCAGATCGGAGAAACAGGAGAGACATTAGAAATGGCAGGAAACAACACACACAAAAACAAACCAAAAAAAACATCCACACATGTTGTGAGTGGGGTTGCACTAGAAATGTCGGTGTTCAGGAGTAATTTTTTTTAAAAAAAGAACACATTTCAACTTAAATTTACAATTGAATGTACCAAAATTCCTCTTTTTAATGTGTGAAACATTTGACCATTATTCGCCTCCTTTAGTTATTAGGTATTTGGCGCTGAAATATGAACTTAAGTTTTATTTGACAGTTAAAATTCGTTTTTTTTCTGACTATGTCACCATATATCTCTGACATATGTCATTTCTTAAACATACCATTTAGACCTGTATAACATATGACATATGGGACTTAGTGGTCGCTGACACGTATGGTCTTCCGTTCAATCTGACATATGAAATTTAGACCTCTATAAACATTGTTTTAGTTATCATATTTTATCTTCGACACACGTTACTTGCTTCTCTTGGACATCCAATTTGATACAAAACATCTTTTATAAATCAGGATCCTATATTTACACGCAATCAAATAATAATATATTATGTGTACAACACAACACAGGAAATCGTTGAGATTGTGTCAACTGTCGCCATGATGCAAGGGGACGCAAATCTATGAAACGCCACAAGGAAACGTGCCATCATGGCTTACACAGCCTTGACGGTCGCCGAGCTGTCGTGAGACAGCCGCAGCAAACGGTGACCAGACAGACACACAAAATACAAATGCGCACACGATAATCGCGCACAGAAAACTCCGCACACTGCGCACACCGACAATTACGCGCAAGAAAATTGCAAAAACGACAAATGCTCGAAAATTGACAACTGTGCACGCAGACAGGCTCAAAAGTTTGTTCTAATGTAAATTTGTTAGAACGGAAGTGTGTTCAAATGAATTAATGGAGACATTTAAAAAAAAAAATTAAAATGTTTACATTTTCCCCATTTCTCACTCGCACATTCCCTTAAAACAGTGGTCGGCAAACCGTGGCTCGCGAGCCGCATGCGGCTCTTTAACGACCTTAGTGCGGCTCGGCCAGTCGGCCACAAATCGGGTTTGACTCAGAAAAACATGGTTCTTGACAGGTTCTTGAAAAAAAAAATGTGGCTCTTAAATTTTTTAAAATCATCTTGCTTCTGATTTTTGGCTCTTTTCACTAATGCATTTGCCGACCACACCCTTAAGACCCCCCCACCCCCCCAAAAAAAAAAAAAAAAATTTTAAAAAATATATAAAGAAATTAATCTAAGTTTAGCAATTTTAATTTCGAATAAAATTCTGTGGAACAATTTTACACTGAACATATTTATTTCGTACAAATTTATGGATACGGGATAAAAGGCAAGTATAAAAGGCTTCTTAATTGCACTGCTGCCCCCCCCCTCCCCAAACCTTCTCCCGGGTACAGAGACTTCAGAGAGTGCCAAACGTTCATTTTTGTCTTTTTGAGGGAAAAAAAAGAAATTCAATGGTATCTTAACAGGCCTTGTGCCCAAATAGCTAGGTAGGTACGGGTACTTTAAAAATTAAATAGTTTGGTAACTTAACAGATTATTATTATTTTTAGTCCGTGGGTACCGGTAGTCTTGGCCATTCCACGACATCTGACATGTAAACAACGCTACAAGTACAAGCAAAGTCATAATGGTACTTGTCATCACAAAGTCTGAATCAAAAATGTTATTAATTTTACTTTTCGCAGCATTTTTGTTTTATGTATCACCCCCCCCCCCACCCTTGTTGCATTGAACCAATCAACTTAATGTTTTGGCAACCTCATCGTGGATTTTTGCTTCGTAATCCGAAGTTGACGTCATAACTTCCACCCGCTAATCCATCAGTGCTTGATAATAGGGTAACGAACTCGGGCCATTGACTTCCAGGGTAGATATATGTTGTTGCCCAGCAGTTCGATCTGCTGCCAAAGCCAACATCTGTTTTTGAAAGACAATCTCTCCCCGACTTGCCCGCAACCCGTTTAAAACATCGCAGAGGATTCCACCGAGTGAGGTAAAGAGGACGTACGTCATGAGGCGCCGGTGCAGCCATCTTGTACTGAACCGGCGCGAAGTGAACCAGGGGAGGTAAGTGTGAAATCAAACGTTGGAGTCGCCTTTCCTTGGGTAGAGCGGAACAGCCCCCCCCCCTCCCCCTACTAACAATAAGCAGGATCTGTAGTCGACGGAGAATGGGATGACGGGTAAACAGTTAAACCAGCGGTTATCAACCTTGATTCGTTGACGTGGTAGATTGGACTTTGGAAGAGAGGGTCATTTAGTTGTTGCCTATTCTCTGCAAAGGGCGTTCATAAAGTATTTTGAACAACTCTACTTGTGAGCGCACATAAAGATTATGAATCTATGTCATCCCCCCCCCCCCAAAAAAAAATAACGCCTAAAATAAAAATATATCCAATTAATATGGACCCAGTCATACACTTCACCACATTACAACTGTGGGGGGCCTCTTAA